AGAATTTAGAATGCAAAAGAGTGTAGGTGGAATAATATTTTAGTCTCGTATTGTGGCAATCAAATTATAGGTCCCCTATAGTTGATGCTGGGTCATTTTTTTTTTATTTACATTATTTATATTATTTATTGGAATGGTTGACAAAACATTGGCTAATCAATCAATTCAAACATTATAAAATGGTAAATAACAAGAATTTCCTTATAGTTGGTTCACATACTTTAATAATTTAGCAAATGTTTCTAAATTTATGAATAAAAAATGGTTTTCACATTTATTTATAAATTGGTAAATGATAAGTATTGAATTCCATTAATTCTAATTAGCATTTAGAATGTTGTAAATATAAAATTAATCTAATAAATAAATACTGTTTAATATTTTTGTTGTAAATTCTAAAGAATAAAAAAAATGTATAAATTCACTTTCATCATTTGTTTAGGTTTTATTCCAATTCTAATCATCACTTTTTAAAACAATAAACATTGCTAAAAAATGAAGGTAGTTAAAAAAGCAGTCTCAGTGGAAAAAAAAAAAGTACTTTACTTTTGACACTACATCTTATTGCAGGCACGTTTCTCCATGTTTCCATGCAAAACTCTGGTTGGAACAATCCCAATCACAGCAACTAAATATAAAAACTACAGATGACAAATAGGCTTGTGTTCTGGCCACTGGCTTGGCAACATCTTGGACAGGTGGCTCATCAACCAACATTGTGTTTATAAGACATGAAGAAGTCCAAAACTCAGGGTTGAAACATCACAAGCCTGAATAGCACACAAAAACTAAAGTTGATGGATTGCCAATTCTATCATTCATTTTTACCATAAATAAAAAGAAAAGATATGCATTGCATTAAACGAAAGTTTTTGAAAATTATTTAAATACAAGACAATAAAAAACCAAAAATGTAATTAATGCCAAAGTGATTAACACTTTTAATTGTCAATAGTGTATCTTTTTAAAGCAATGGCTTTCTGTAATCTTTTCTTGTGATTTTCCACCAAGCTGTTACTGTTATGATAGGTATTCTCTCTGAGAGATGTAGTTTCATCAAGATAATTCTCCTATAGGTATAGCAATACAGCCTTTTATACAGTACCTCATTTACATATCACAACACTTCCTTGAACCTAAGAGGCTTTATACCTTTAGTTGATCTTTGACTTCTACAAATAACCCTAGGAGACATAATCCATCTCTTAGAGCAAGTCTCTTTATTTCTCTTTATAGGAGATCTAGGTCTTAACCGATTCTCTTCATTTGAATCATCCTGATACCTTTGGTCACTCTCATTCCCAGATTGTTTGTCACTACTACTGGATGCATTCATTCTCTCCTCCCTCTCCTGTTCTTCACTTTCACATCACTGATGGTCTTCCTCATCACTCTCAATACTGGATTCATTCATCCTTTCTTGCATCATCTGTTCCTGTTCCATAACTTAATGCTCTCTTGTGATTCTAAATTGGTCTTCTTGAGCAATTATGTCCTGTCAATTCTTTGTTAATACAGATGTGGTAAATCTGCTTTGTACCACAAAATTCATCTTTTCAGGACTTGAATCCTTGTCCTTTCTGTACGACACATTTTCATTAGTTGCAAATGATATAGTAATCAGCACTCTTATTTTTCTGGATAAGTACATTACAGTATGACAATATTACAGTTATAGCACAGCCACTGGCTTCAGTAGTTAATGTCAATTCTTTCACTTTTAACAACTGCTTTGTTTATGAGTACCTTTTTTAATTTCTCAAAAGAAACCTCCTGTCTTTTTGTCCATTGAAATTTGGTATTCGTCTTTCTTATTTTGTTAAATGGTTCCACAAGGTCACTATATTGCGGTAGATATCTGTTATAAAAATTGGTTAATCCTAAAAAAAAGATTCTAACTCTTTTTTTTTTCTTTTTTTTTTAATTCTGGGTACTGATATCTTATCAATGAGTTTATCATCTGGCAATATACCGTCTTTGGATATTTGATATCCTAGGTAGGAAATTTTTTCACAATTAAACTCACATTTATCGCGATTATCATATCTATGCTATTTAATTTTCTCAAAACTTGCTCCATTTTACTTTAGAACTCTTCTTTACTGCCCATACCCATACCAATTGTTGTCCTGATATACAATTATATTTTTAATCCCCCCTCTAAAACTTTTTTAATGGCTTTTTGAAAAATGTGACTTGACATTTTTACTCCAAATAGCAGACAAGTCCATCTTATTGATCCAATTTGTGGTGACATCTTGAAATTTGCTATCAATTTTTATCTGATTATATGCTGACTTAAGACCAACTTTAGCAAAGTATTTTATACCAGCAAACTCATGGCATCCTGTTTCAATGTTTGGCAATGGAATAAACCCAAACTGATCAGGTGATTCATGCATACCTTATAATCGCCACACATTCTTAAATCTCCATTGGGCTTGAGTATCACCACAGTGGGTGAAGCCCAGTTGCTACCACCCTGGTTGACTTTTTCTCATATTCCTTGTTCCACCATTTTGTTCAGCTTAGCAACCACCAAAAGTAGCATGTGAACAGGAATTTTTCAGGCTTGAAAATACATGGGTTGACTACTTTTTTTAAGCCAAATACTCTCCTTGTATCCCTTTAATAATCCAACATACCAGTTCAATGGACTTCATGGAATTTACCATCTTTGATGCATCCACTCTTAACATGTCAATTCCTAAAAGACCATGGTTTTTTTGTTTTTCACCACTATGATGGATATTATCTCAAATTTATTTTTGTCTCAAACATGCCTTCAAAGAATCCTAAAATTTTGATGCTTGACCCAACAAACTGTTCCAACTGAAGATTACTTTTCTTTAACTTTGGTCTACCCATTTTTTCTCCAAAATTCCTCACTATCAATGTAAAATCACTTCCACTATCCACCTGCATGAGTAAACTTACTCCATTCAACTTCACCATTTCTCTACTTTGCTCCTGTGCTCTTATCACAAATACTTCTGTACTTTCAATCAGAGGATCTATATTTTCCACTTTTTCCACTCGCTTTTCATATGTGCATATCATCTGGAAATGATTCCTCTTTTTACACTTAAAACACCATTTCCCAAAGGCCAGGCACTTATTTTTGTTATTTTCATGTTCCTTATTGCAATATCTGCATACAAGAAAGCTTTTAGTAGCACTGTAAGTCTCTATGCTGCCTTCAGAGTCTTTTAAATCAATTCCAATTATGTGCAAGAACTCCACACATGCTTCTAGATTCATATTATGAGCTTGAAGCCGCTCTAGAATTTTATACTTGTACAAAATGTCAAACATTCCTTCAGTCAGTCTTAGAAAAATTAGCTCATTTTCGATAGAAATTTGTACCAAACCCATTCTTTCATACTCACATTATCTTGATGCTTCTTTCAATCGCTGTACATATTGTATAATAGTTTCATCCGGTCTCTGTCTACTTTCGAGTAATTTAGTTCTTTCTGCTATGACCAATTTTTTTTGGGTCATATATTTGCTTTTATGATGGAAGCAATTTATTCATATGCTAAATCATACAACACTTTGGGATAGACCATGATGGAGATTTTTTTTTATGGCCTCACACCCCACTGAGGCCAAAACAAATCCATAACTTCATTTTCTCCTTTGGTATCCTTTAACTTTTTTACTCTTGCCAATGCTGCAAAACACCTAAGCCAGGTTTCTACATATTCCAGATCCTCCATCATGGTTAAATAACTGACCAGCAATGCCATATTGTTATGATAGGTATTCTCTCTGGCAGATGTTGTCTTGTCAAGAGAAAATAACTCTCTTGTAGGTATAGCAATACTATCTTTTATACAGTACCTCATTTACATATCACTACAGTAACTCCCATCATCACTTCTTCCACTCCTCTTGATAAATAGCCTCTAATTCTTGAAGATACTTCAACAGTCTTTGCAAATTTTCTATCAAATTAAAATCTGCCATGCATAAGAGGCACGGTGGAGTAATGGCTAGCAGCTCGGATTGAGGAATTGGGGAGCCGAGTTCAAATTCCAGTCGAATCTATTACATTCGCTTACATGCTAACACCCTTGGAAAAGGTATGAATCTTCTTCTCCCCCCAGCTATGGGTAAATAGGACAGACCAGGTTCTATAGCCTTGGATGGCAACTGGTCTACCACAGAAAGAAATGGCAACATACTGCAGGAAAAAATCTGCCTCATCAGTCATATATCGAAAGATAAATGATCGCCTAAACGTGTTATCACACATGGCACATAACTGATTGACATGGTGCAATATCAATCTTATTTGTCCCTGACAATGTTTTCACTAAATTTTGAATAACACTTAGGACCATTGTTCTGTATGAAGGTTCAACATCCCAGATTAAAGTTCCTTGCTAACCCCTTCAAGTTGTGGCTAAAATATATCAACGTATGCTTTCTTTTTGATCAAAGATAAAATAATGATAAAGAAACAAACAGAATAATGTTGATATTTTAACAAGAAATAATTTATTTTAGCTATTAATTTATTTAGATATTTCAACTAGCATCTTCCCCCCCACCCCGCCAATTCTAACATCTGATGATATGCAGTGGTCTGAACTTTGAATTGCTCATTCAAAACTATAATTGTAGAACAGCAGTTATCACTATCTGTTTCTTGACTTTCTTACTTTTCAAAGTTAGGAATCTGGTGGTCTTGTTCAATTACACCTATTACTACACTTATCACCTCCCATGTTTCTTTTCTGCGTATGTTTATTGTATGCCTTTTCTCTCTCGCTCTCTCAGCAGATTCCATCATTCCATTTCTTCTCTATGGTGGCCTTAGGAGGTTTTCCAGAGATAACAAAAAGACAAAATTTACTAAGAGCTACAAAGGAGAGGAAATCATGGCAAGCCCTGATTGCCAACAATGTTTCAGAAGAAGAAGAAGAATAAGAAGAAGAAGAAGAAGAAGAAGGCAAAAAACCAAGTAGATAGTTAAACATGAATGGACTTACCAAGAAAACCTGTTATGATTGTGATAGGAACTTTCACAACATCCGCAGGAATGAGATCTGGAGGTAGTTCTTCATCATCAGACATGTTGATTCATCAAAGTAGAATAAACCCTGGAAATATGATAAAATATATATATTGGCATCTTCTTTAGGATGAAATGTTTACATTTTTATTTTAATCGTCATTATCATGATATTTTGAATACCCACCTTCTCGGAACAAGTCTTTTCCTAGTAATCTCCCTTTTGACTTTCTATTAATAACCTCCCTTTGTTGTCATTCTTTTAAATAAAAATGTTGCTTGTTAGTTCATTAAAGCCTTCCAAAGGTCTCATGTTTTCTTGTTATCATTTCAATCATCATTATTATTATTTCTGTCTGAATTTCTGAGATGGAGAGTTTGTTTTTATTTACATTTGGACTATTGTTTGCATCTTTGTTGTCAATAGCCAAGTTCTAACACTTTCACCCCTGCCCCTCAACCTCCAGCGTCTTACTCTTGGGGTTGAGGTGTCTACTCAGTCCTAACTGAGCTTAAGGGGGTGGCCACAGGTCCCCTGAGCATCCATAGATTATTCAACCAGTCTGCAGGTTTAATCCTGCTTCCTGCCCACATTGTGATTTGCTTGACCCAGAAAGCAGAAGTGATGTTCATCCATCCACGAATGACTGAAGATGTAGACACGGCTGGGGAGTTTAGAATGCAGCAAAAAAAAAAAATTAATATCTGCAGAAAGCCGGACAAACATCGATTCAATGCTTGAATTGTTAATGTCTTTTATATAGCAGAAAAGAATAGTAGAGAAGAGAAACGGGTTACAGAAAAGAAAAGTAAAGAAAAAACTCATACACTGGATTCTAGACAGACAGAGAGAGTGTATGTGATTATCTTGTTGTTAAATCGTCTCGGAATGATATATGACTCTTGCAATGGAGGGATAAAGATATTTGTGTGGGGCTTAAAGTTATAGTGGCGTTCTTCCTCCCAATGCTCACCCAGGCAAATTCTTTCTTCAAGAATTTTTCTCCCATCTTCCTTTTTCAGCATTACTACACATTTATATAGATAAACCTGTCCGGTTATAACTGACCCTCGGCCCTACTACTTCGCACGCGATTATCATGGGGGTTCTGGCTGCTTCAACCAAAATTGTGAATTCCAAAGTTCCTTCTAGCTTACTCAGCTCTATTTCACTTTTTAATCAATAAAAATTATTTTGCTCATTTCCATTGTCTTCTGATGACCCAGATTCAATGGGTACAACTTCTGCCCTAGATCAGATTTGGTGTCCCATTTTCCATCCTCTGTTAAAACACTTTCCAGATATTTAAATTTTTGTACTTGTTTGATTTTGGTATCTCCAGTTTGCAATTTGCATGTTGGACTGCCTTTTGCTAACAACCACACATTCTGACTTCTTACATCTGATGTTTAGTCCTTTCTTCTTGCTTTCCTTTACTACCTTCTGTAGGAGTTCTTGTAGTTTCCATTATGTCTGCTATCAACACTATGTCATTCGCATATATTATGTTGTTAAGATTGTGGCTACCAATAATGAATCCTGGTAGGTCTTCCAAATCTCTCAGAATTGCCTCACTGTATAGGTTGAATAAATCTGGTGAGAAGATGCATCATTGTCTTGAACTAAATTCATTCTCTATCCATATGCAGGCAGTTTGCACTAAAGTAAGTCCAAAACATTTGTGTATCAATTTTTATCATTTATCATGCAGCAGATATTAATAATGCAGAGCTGCTTCAGCAACATGTTATGGGGGCCTGCAAGAGCATTTGACACCATGTGGGAGTATTTGAAAGGGTGCATGCATGTGTAGAAACAAGCAGAGGACATTTTGAACATTTGTTATGTTGTTGCTGTGTTGAGGTACAATGATGGCCTTTTGTTTATCCGGACATTTTACCTTGTTTTGGGTGTCAGGAACCAGCCCCCAAAAGTTTGTAAAAGTATTTTTTATACACACTCTCTCTCTCTCTCTCTATATATATATATATATATATATATATATATATATATATATATATATCCAGGGTGAATGAACATGATTACAAAAAAAAAAAAAAAATCAATTTTGAAACTGTAAAAAGGAATCAGAATCATACTATTTGACCAAACTGGTGAAATTTAAATGTGTAATATGGCAAAAGTGATTTTTTGACCTGACAAGTCAGTCACAAGAGACTTGTTTATGAACTTAGAGTAAAACACAATTTTAAAAAAATGCAGAAAAGTAACAATTGTTGACGCATTCATTAAAACTATACTGAAAAACAAAAATAAAGTGCTTTAGTGTCTATTCACATTGCACATTAAGCCAAAAAAGTTTTATATCATCGTTTTTATTTTTGCCCTCAAAAGGAATTGATTTATTGATTTAGCTGTTCAATAAACAAGACCAACTCCTAAACTAAGAAAGAAAATAAAGCACACTTGTAATCTTTATTTCTGGACTAAACCATTAATTTAATGAACTCAAAAATGTCTAATGTTAATTTGAAAGAGCATGAATAAAATCACCAAGGTTTTCCCTGTAGAATGTCCAATGGTAATAAATCATGTGGATTTAAACTATACAGAATATTCCAGTTAATTAGAGCATAACATGAAGAAAACAATTTGATCAAATTAAGCAGAGTTGCCATTTATACAAAATAATGTACAAATATTTTCAAGATACACATTTTTAGCCATAACAAAATACAGAGTGAGTGGGTGTAAAGCAACTCCCTATTGAAAATTACTTATAATTTTTATTAATATTACATTTACATGAAGCAAAATATATTATGATCCCTGAAGTGGTAGAATTTCATTTTTAATTTCTGTTTTTATTTCAGAATGACAAGAGTAGCCCAGAATGACACAACACCTGACATGTGAAGCTCATATGGAATAAGCCAATGTTAATGAGAAATTATAGAATTCATCAACAAAAAAATTAAAATTTATACTAAGTTGCTCCTCGTCAAGTTTTTATGACAGTCTTAATTCTTTCTGGTAGGGATTTTCACTAATGTAAATCAATATATTTTTATCAAAGTGATTCCAAGTTTCTGCAATGGCAACTGTTAGCTCTTTGGTGGATGGAGCCTCAAGGACTATTTGTTTTTTTAAATTCCACCATAAATTTTTAACTGGATTTAAATCCAGACTGTTCACTGATCATGTAATTGATTCTTAATTGCCTTTTCTGAAGAAAAGCTTTAATTCCCTTTAATCTGTGACAAAATACATTATCATCCTGGAAAATCAACTTGATCATCATCACAACAATCTTCTATTAATGAAATGTGAAAATTATCCAGGATTTCAATGTACATATATGCATTGATTGATTTCCATCTCCCCTGGTCCTTTAAATGACATGCAATGTCAGATCATGAATAATTTAGGAAATTGACTTATTTTCTTCAGGCAGTCAAAAGTTCCAGGATCATCATCTTGGTCATTGCCGATTCTTGATTCATCCATATGCCATTGTTCCTCTTGAGCTTCCTTTTTTATCCATTGCCTTCGAGAATGAGTTTTACAATCTTTTCCATTGTTTCAATTGACAATTCTTTTGTTGGAATCATGTTTCCTTTCAATTAGGTATACACAACTGCTTGTTGAGGTCAGCAAGAATTCAATTTTAACTTTAGACTGATTTGCATACCTAAGCTTATCCCCATATTTGTTTTAGGAATAGCAAATTACAAGATCATTTCCTAAGTTTTTTTCTCAACATAACATTACTCATTTTCAACATTACCCCTGGCATAATTTTTTGCCAGGGTAATACATATATATATATATATATATATATATATATATATATATATATATATATATATATATATATATATTGCCTATAATACCACCTAGTGAATTTAATATGCCAGAAATATGACCTTGTGCTAAATGAACAAAGTCATCTCTCAGCTTTTCACTGACTGGACAAATAACCCTATGTTGTATCTCCATTCTAATTTGCATCAACATACGCAAAACTGAGAAAGGTTCATTGTACATTCACAAGGAAATGGAAGGTGAAAACGCCAATGAAAAACATTAACCCTGTTTATTTCATAGATTCACTTGCATGATCCGTGTGTAGGTGACACTAGGGAAAACCTGCCATGGTTGTTTAACCAGCATGAATACTGACTCTCTCCTACCATCTTTCTGTCTATCTCTTTGGAATCCTCTCTTGACGTAGAGTGACCATCCCAGAACTACACTGACAGTCTGTTCCCACCAATAGGAAACTCAGAACTATCCCCAATTCCTACTGTGACTGTTTATATAAGACAAGCAACAGAAATCTTTAACATCCAGTCAAATATCACTTGACCCTCAAAAGTTTTTATTTATCTATTTTATTCCCCTTTAGTCAAGTGGGTAGCAATTTTGAAGACCTCACCTTGCAGACCCCACTACCGGTCATGAAAACAGAAAACAATTAAAACTGGAATAAAATCATTTAGCATCTACTTCTCTATGGGTTCCCCAACTACTGCTGTAGCTTCATACTAAATTTCACTCTGTCCAACAATTAATCATCTGAAAATAATAATTAATCTGTTAATTTTTGTGGCTCAAAATGCTTGTTGGGTAAAATCTAGACATCTATATCTTCTACCCATTATATCAGGTTTAGAAAATAATGTCCGATTTTAGAATAAACCTAATGTGTAAGATATTTATGTGTAAGATATATTATTATGAAAGTTGCACAAAAATATCTTACACATTCCTACTGATTAAAGTGTCATCTTCGTTAATTTTATATCAATCTCTTTCAGAATTTAACTTAAAACATTATATACTCCTCAACTTGAACACCAAAAAATTAAACAATTTAAATGTGTTCATTCAAGAATTGAAGCTGAGTTTGAAATCAGACATTATTTTCTGAACAATCAAAAACAAGTACTGAAAATGAATAGCAAAGAAAAAATAATATGTCTGTACTGTAAAAAAGGCAACATGATTTATATATATATATATATATATATATATATATATATATATATATGTATGTATGTACAGTACTTATTGGAAAGTGCTCAATATCAGTGATAG